TTAGGTTTCTTTTTCTTTTTTTTTTTTATTTCTGTCTCAGACAAGTACTGTTAGCTGACAAGAAATATGGCATTCCTCACCTAATACAGTAAACAAAACAAAACAAAAACCCTCTCTTAATCACTACTAGACAGCCTCTAGACAATACATTCCTGCAAGGAATTGTAAGGGAAAGGATTGGATGCCACTCTGTTAATGAAACTTAAGGAATAGATTGTCAGGCATACCGGGAGTTTCAGATGTATTTCTGAATTCACATCTGTGGGAGTTGTGGATTGTCACAGTTCATTTGCTTTTGTAAAATATCCACAATTTGCTGACAAGCAACTTCAAAAGTCCATTCAGTGATTGGGTGGGTGGTGGACCCCTTTCGGCATTTTTTAAAATAAGTGTTCTTTTGCTACTGTAATATATAGAGCTGGTGAAGAAAAAGAACGAATGCTAAAATAAATAGTAAAATATAAAACACTTCATACAAAGTAATTTGATGTGCCATTAGTTGTACAATTACTTCAGTAAACACATACATGTTATAAAGGGAAATCAGAAACAAAATGCTTTCAGTTACGGAACTTGCAAGCACCCAAGACTCCATGTTGTTAATTCCTTTGGGAAGTGCCATTTTTAATTTTTTGGTTTCTTTTCAGTGTTGTGCAGGTCCTTGCAACTGCTTTGTTGTTGTTGTTGTTGTTTTTAATTTATATCAGGAGTCATAGAATTAGAAGGAAGGCATTTAAAATCACTGAAGACTGCAGTTAAAAATAATGAAGTACCATTATTTCTCTTAAATTTAGGAGCTGAAGTTGTCAGTCAAAACAATGGAAAAATGTTGTTTTAGTTTAAGTAGCCAGATTGCCAGTGTAACATACTTGAGAATGCTAACACATTCCTCAGAGATGGGCGCATCAGAATAAAGCTGTATTCTGTATATTATGCCCCCAATGGGGCGTTGATGAAGACCTACACAGTGCATACATTTCTTTTAAGTTCTGTTAAGCAATCTTGTGTTATGAGTACAATTAAAAGTCCATCAGTATCCCAAGTACTCGTGCATTATCTACCCTGCCACACTTCGCTAATGCGTCTTATCATTTAGGTTGCTAATACTGTTCAGTGTAAAGACAGTCTTTCTGAGGTAGACTGTTCAAGTTCAAGGACAAGTCTTTTTCTTACGAAATGCATGACATTCAAAAAAAGACAACAAATAAATACTACATGTACAATATGTAGCAATGAGGTAGAAATGGTTATAAAGAACAATGTTTGAATACAAGTCAGATGAAAAAAAGAAAAAAAAAAAGAAATGAATATTCTCTAGCAACTGTATATAATCCACGAGGAGAAACACACACACACACACACACACACAGGAGAGGGAGAGAGAAGAAATAAACTTTTGCTTTTTTTTTATATATATATATATCATAAGACAACAAGAAAGAATGAATGTGCTCCCAACCTTGGTGTACTACAGAACCATTTTATAAATATTTAACATTCTATAGGACTGATTCATATATTCTCACACAACTCTGTGGCAAGGCTGACCCATGCTGCCGACATTCTACATATCACTGAGACAGGGAGGTGAAATTTTCCTGCTTTCCGTCTAATTGTCTTTGACAATTGCAGTGCCTAGTGCTACACTGCTTGTGTTGTATTTAAAAACAGGGGAAAGAGGAGAGACTTGTTCATTAAAGATGCAGTATCCCTGGTTCACACAAATGCATCTGGCAGGTTCAAAATCGAATGTCAAGCAGAGGTCTTAGCAGAGTGTGAGCTTCAGTTCATGTGTTGGTGAGTCACCAGTACAGCTGGTTTTGAATTCTGAAATACTAATAGCTCCATGTTTGCTAATGTGCTTTGTATGAAAAATCGGCAAGTGATTCAACAACCAAAGGCTTTTCCTTCTCAAAAGAAAAACACATATTAAAACACTGAATTGTCAAGTGGTCATGTGAATCTGCGCACGTGAAGAAAGGAAGTTAACCAGTTGCTTCTGAATAATGTAAACTAGATGTTAGTTTTAAAGTTCAAATAGGTGGTGGTGAAAACAGCACACACATACATACACACACACACATACATGCTAATTGTATATATATGTGTGTGTGTGTATACGCACACACACACACATATATATATTAGAACTTTATATATATATTAGAACTTTACCTTAGTGGCCTCGATAGTTCAACAAACTGTGTCCCTTTCACTTTGCAAAATACAGTTTCAATGACCATGATGATAGCCAATTCTTGTTAAGAAACATGAGAATGGGATCAGGAAAGTATCTTTCTCTGTGGAGTTGGACACATTTCTAGAGAAACACACTCTAAATGCCTCTAAAATGTATTTTCCAACCCACAAATGTATGTAAATTTACAAAGACCTATTGTAGGAATTAATTTGGATTTTTTTTTTTGGATGTATTCTTCTGAAAACTGCATAGCCAAGTACTATGCAACCCATGTAAATTGACCTTGCTATTTTACATAGCATAGCCTCTGGATAGCTTTTATCACTTGCCCAGATGGTGTTTGGCCTATGTATTTTAGTGGAATGGTTTATTTTCTCCTTGATAGGTTTCAAATGCACAAGAAAACATTATACCCGTCTATCTGCATTTGAGTAGAATACAAACTGACTAATAGATAAACATTCCGTGTGAAAGTAAATAGCCTTAAAGTATACTGCCTTCACATTCCATTGATCAGCTCAGTCAGCAAAGTTTTCCATATTGTCACTAATGTTCTAAATATTTTGGTGAGAAGCATGCCAGGAGTGTAGGGTATTTCCATTTGTGTCACGCATAAGGTCATTATGAACTACCTCTTGAATTCCTATTGATCCTTCTCCTGAAGTGGTTTCCTTCACTTCCTTTTTGTTCCTGTTGGAAATGTTATTGCGGTTGTGAAGAAGAGAATTAGGGGCTGTTAAGTGGACTGGCTCAAATCCCCTGGCCAGACGGCACGGGATTTGGACTGGCTCATTACCTTACCTTCATTAGTAGCCTTCTCCAAAATCTTAGCAGTCAGAAAGAGGCCGAGGGTATGAAGCCCGATTACTCAGTTGTACTATCATCACTGATTGTACATATTCACTTCTCAGGATGTGGCACCCCGCCCCCACCCCAAGCTCCAGAAGGGATGGTCAGAAAAGAGCTCATTATTAGGCTAGTCCACAGAAGAGCTCATAATGCTGCCATGCAGAATCAAAGAATCACAGGAGAGCACTATCTACTCAAAGGTCAGCCTTATCTCCCCCAACAGATCTTCATTTCTTCAGCATGCCCAATTTCCTAAGAGATCAAATCCTAGAATTCACGAGGCTAAATGAAATTCACACAAGACTTCAGCTTCTTCCTAAATACATGGATTTTTGACCACTCATACCGCAAAGTAGTTTTAAAGTCACTTAAAGCTAAAAGCCGGTATGTAGGACCTTATTTTCGGTTTTATAAATGAGTGTAAAACACAATAGTGCAGTCATATTTGGCATTAACTCTTACCAGCCACAAAAATGTGGGTCAATATTGGATTTTCCAAAGTTGTCTAAGTTAAGACTGGGTTTGTCAAAACTTGCCAGTTGCTTTCAAGTGAACACAGCATGTTGGCGGAAATGAAATGTAATGTCTAAAAGACAGAAAATAGGTCAGCACTGTGCAAAAGTAAACTTGTCAGTGAGATCAATATGGACCTACAAGTTAATGGGGATATTAGAATTTCCTTACAATAAGAGATGTGCAGGGTAGAGCCAGAACACAACTATAGCATTTATTCACTTGTGAAAAGCAGAGGACGTATTTAAATATTATTTTTTGTATCCTTAATGAAAGGCACTGCTTTTTAATATGGAATATTCATATGTAAGCACAGTTTTAATTGATAGGATATCACAGTAAATCAAATTTTGGTTCATTTGCTCAGTTTCTCGCAACATTGAAAAATACAAAAAAAGGGGGGTAATGATCAAGCATGATAAAATTTCAGAAATACGATGAAGTCCTTCAATAGCTTTCTCTATGGTAAGTGTGTCAGAGAATTTGACATTGTGAATGCAATCAGTCAAAATTTTTGAAGGAAAAAAAAACAATAACAGAAAGCTTTCTTGGGGCTTCTCATTGCATTTATTTAAATTTTTAAAAAATGTACATCACTTTTTGAATACATAAAATGCCAGTGCTTTGCAACAGTTTTGTTACTGCATCTCTCAACTAAAAAAAGGAAGAAAAAAAAAAAAACAGGAAAAATACATTCAAAAAGCCAGGCTGTTCTGCTTATGCACGGGCAGTGGCTTTGGAAAGCTACAGCCTACACTGTCTGTTCAGAGGCATTGCCGAACATCAGTTAGCTATCAATGAAAAGTTGCACATAAAGCATTAAAGGATACAAAGAACAACTTGGTGGGGTGTAGGAGAAGAATGGGAAATTAAGAAAAATGCCACATATTCTGGAGGGGGGGGGTAGGGGCGGACTCAGGTAGAAGCAAGCACGAAGACCGTTATTTTTGGAAACTGGATTTATGGAAAAAAGGAGAAAACAAAGTAACGTGTTTGACAAGGTAATAGTTGTGTGCACGCGCGCGTGTGTGGGTGTGTGTCCACGTCCAATTTTCTACTTTCCTTTCCAAGAGAAATGTAACAAAACTGAGGTAGAAATGAATGTGGGAGCACTATAGCCCAGAAGATTTCAAAATGAGAAGCAAAATTGCACTGAGAAGAGAGGCGTCAGAAAGAGGGGATGTAGATGTTCTTTGTGGATATAGAGAAGTTGGTTGGTTGGTGTTTGTATTTATTTATTTGTTTGTTTTTGCTTGCTATCTTCTGCATTCTACCGAACAGCACGGCAAGCCTATAAGCGAGATTAGTGAATAGAAGGACACCATTCCCAGCAATTTTAAGAGAGAACTTGCAAACCACCACCACCACCACCACCACCACCACCACCACCACCACCACCACCATCATCACCACCACCACCTATGCAGTAAAAGGCAGTCCTAGTTTTTCGGTACTGTGACTTTCAGGGCCCTACACAGGTCTTGTGGCTGAGTGTTCTAGACACTAACATGAACTGAGTAAGTAGCTTTCCATTAACCAGTGTACCTTTTTAAGAACATTTTCATTTCATTATCAAGGAGCAATGTACGAAGAACTCTTGCAGTTTTTGACATAAAGGATTATTCTGCTCTGGTTAATTCCCCATAATTAGTAAAAGAATCTTTAAAAAAAAAAATCCTTCCATTTCTACTTTAAATTGTAAATATTCGGTTGTATCACACGTCAGTATTTTTTTCCGGATACATTCAAAGTAATTTTCCTTGCTCTTTTTTCCAATTGTTGAGGTAAACATACATTTTAATATAAAGTAACATTGAAGCCTATCCCATTACTATCAGCAGTACATAGTGCTTTCAACACATTCCTTTGAGGTACTGTACAAATCACAATCGCTTTCCTGAGTTTTTGCAGACAAGAACATTAAAAGAAATGAACTGCAGAAATTAAGGTCCAGATTACCGTTACCCTGTTTTACCTGTTCTTAGCTTAGTACTGCAGAACAGACAGGATTGAGGAATACTGTTGCTCTTAAAATGGCAAAAATCTGGTTTTCTGTCGTCACACAACCGTTCATCTCTTTAGTCCAATAATGTTTGAAGTTAAAGCTCTTTATATTAGCACATGCCACCAATGTAATTGTGAGGCAAACAAAAAATAAAGCACCACTCCAGGCACTTGACAGCAACTAAATCTCGAGAACAGCAGAATGGAATCAACACACGAGGTTCATGTCCTTCTGAAATCAACACACTTGCACCTTGCTCCTTGGTGAGCGTTGTCTAGCTTGAACTGAACTGAGCATCGACAGATGCTTTCTGTATCTGGGGCTCTCAAATCAGAAGCTCTCGTTTGATGCGTTTTTTTTTTTTTCCTCCAAATCTACCCTGACGCTAAAGATGCAACTCCATCGTCATCTTCCCCAGTACCCTTTGCGATTTAAACACTACTGGAAAGGGGCTCTATACCCTATGTAGCAGGTTTTATGCGCGTGTGCCAACATTCATTACATTTTTTTTTTTAAAGAAGTCATCACTGACTGCAACCAAACATTTTGTTCCATTCAACATACATATCAAGCTCTTTTTGAGATATGCTAGGCTGAATCTTGCAGAAAGCATTTTCAAAGTCTTGATATGTAACGGGCCTCAACTGGCCGGGCATGATGGCTGAGAGGTCTGTGGCTGGCAGGGCGTGGAGGGGGCCCACCGCCGCTTCCTGACACAAGTGAGCCACGTCTAGCCCAGAGAAGCCTTCTGTGCGCTGGACGAGCAGTGCAAACTCCTTGTCACTGAGACAGTAATTGTGCTGTGAGAGCAGTTGTACTATCATCTGGTGCCTCGCTGTGCTGTCGGGAAGTGGGATTAAGAGTCGTTTCATGAAGTACCTCCGGAGGGACTCGTCGATCTCCTCTGGTTTACTGGTGGCACAAATGACTACGATTTGGTCCTCGGCTGACGTGAGTACAGTGTCCAGCTGCATCAGGAATTCCGTTCTCATCCGGCTGACCGGACTGTGCTCCTCGCCCACCTGGGAGGACAGGAGCACGTCAATGTCGCTGACAAAAATCACCGCGGGCTGGCGGCAGCGGGCCACGAGGAAGGAGGCGTGGATGATCTTCTCCGCCTCCCCCAGCCACTTGGCCACCAGCCCGGAGCCGGCGATCTTGAAGAACGTGGCCCCCAGCTGGCCCGCCAGGCAGCGGCCCAGCAGCGTCTTGCCGGTGCCGCGGGGCCCGAAGAGGAGGATGCTCCGCGGCGAGGCCGTGAGGCCGCTGAAGGCGTCCGACCTGAGCACGGGCCACAGCACCTCCTCCTTGAGGACCGCCTTCACCAGGTCCAGGCCGGCGATGTCGCCCCAGTCCAGCGGCGGGCCCTGCGCGATGATCTCGCTGCTCACCAGGTCCAGCAGGTGCGGCTCGGCGCCCTTGAGCTGCTCGTCGGCGGCGTGGCCGGCTGAGGTAGGTGCGCGCAGCGCGGGGCCCTGCAGGCCGTGCGGCAGCAGCTGCCGGTGCTCCTCCCCGGGCTCGCCCACGCCCGGCGACGGGTACTTGCCGAAAGAGTCGCCGCCGGGCCGCGCGCCCAGGCCGGGCTTGGCGGCGCCGTAGGCGGGCGGCGTCAGGGCCCGGCCGGGCTGGCCGCCGAACTTGCGCGGCTGCTCGGGGGCCAGCAGCTGCTTGCCCGGCTTGAAGGCCAGGGCGGCGGGGTCGGCGCCGCGGTCGAAGCCGCCGCCGCCGCCGCTCCCGCCGCCGCCGCTCCCGCTCCCGCCGCCGCCGCCGCTGCCGCCGCCGCCGCCCCCGCGGCCGGGGCCGGGGCCGGGGCCGGGGCCCGAGCCCGGGAGGGCGCCGTCGGGCATCCTGTACATGGGGCTCTGCGCGGACCTCTGCTGGCCGTAGCCGTAGCCCGCGTAGCCGGCGTCCAGGTCGCCCTGCCCCGCCATGTAGAAGGCCTTGCGCTTGAGCGAGCTCGCCGAGCCGCCCGCCAGCGCCGAGGGCGCGAGGGGCGCCAGCGCGTGGCCCTGGTAGGCGTAGCCCGGGACGGTGCTGGGCGGCAGCGGGGTGGGCGCGGGGATGCCGGACGGCAGGTAGGCCGAGGGCGGCGGCGGCGGCGCGCCTCCGGGGCTGTAGCCCGCGCCCACGGCCGCCTGCGGGGGGTAGCCGGCCGCCGGGTAGCTGTAGCCCGCCAGGTTGGACGCCCCGTTGTAGCCGGGGACCAGGGCGGCGGGCGGCGGCGGCGGCGGCGGCGGCGGCGGCGGCTGCAGGAGCCCCGAGCTGTGCAGCGGCGACGGGTGCGGGGACGGAAGTGCAGGTGCCGGCTGGCTGCTGTAGGTCGAGTGCAGGTACGAGCCGTTGTAGCCCGGGGCGTATTCCTGAGACGGGAGCCCGGCGTGCAGGCTGGCCACCGTGTGGCTGCCGCAGCTGCTGCTCGAGTAGCTGGGCTCGGCCAGGTTGCTGGCCACCCCCGGGGAGCTGCCGATGCTGGCCGAGGCGTCGGCGGGCGGCAGCGCGGGCGCCACCCCGGCCTTGCCGGCGGCGAGGACCTCGGGGACGCAGTTCATGGGGTACACGGCGTCCGAGCTCAGCGGCGGCTGCCAGGGCTCGCTGTCATTCTTCCGACCGTTCACCAGCCCCGAGGGCGCGTCCGAGTAGTTGCTGAGCACAGGCCGGTCCACGGGGCCTTCCAGGATGCCCGAGTACTTCTCCGCGTACTTCTTCAGCAGGTTGGACGCCGTCAGCGCAGAAATGTCGTCGTTGGCCCAGGCGTACTGGTAGGTGCGCTGCAGGTGGCCGCGGTAGGCTTCGACCTTGTGCGCGGGGGACCGAGTGGTCGAGGTGATGTCAAAGTGCTGTTCTGGCCACTGCGCATGCTCCGGCGTCCACTGCATCTTCAAGCCTGAGGATGGGGGGGGGGGGAGGAGCGAGGAAAAGTCAATTTACTAAGGTGCTCATCGGAAAGGGTCACAGCTCTCCCCTAACTTCCTTCGTTACCTGCGATTTTCCATTAACGCCACAGCCATCCTAAAGAATCCCCACAGTTCACAGTATCCACTGTGGCCCGCACAGTGCGTGCGCTTTAAAAGGGGACCGAATTTCAGTCCTGTGTGAAAAGGCAACCGAATTTGAATAAAGATCTCTGTAGAGGGCGGGATTCTTTTTTTTTTTTTTTTTCCTCCTCCTTAAGCAATAAGCAGATCGATTCCGGTGGAGCCTATCAGGTTACCTGCTGCACACACGCACACACGCAGTGCACACGCGCAGGGACCCGTATATATGTACACACACGCTCCTGTCAGATCAGACTTCGACAGCAGGTCCTTAAAACAAGGAAATATGCGGATCTGTTAAACATCCGGCACGTGACACTAGGAACACGGGCAGTATGTGGCTGTTGTGTCTTTTCACACCAGAGTTTCTGTTTTGTATTTTAGCCAATGTAAAAACGAGACACAGCCGACAGATCACGTCTAGGACCCCTCTCTTCTTCGGGACTGAACACCTAGTTAGCACAGTATAATGCTCCCTGCGCAGAACAATATGACACAGACATAGCAGGTCACTCCACAATCCAACTCTCATCTAAAGTGCTCCACGACAGTTTCAAATCTGCTTCGTGGAGTGCAGCAAAGCAATCTCCCAGGCAGCGCTCCATCGCTTTCATCGCACAAAGCCTACAACTCGGTATGAATTACAACTGGCTCCTTTCTGCCTCTCACTTCTGTTGTTGAGTCTCTGAAAAAAAAAAACAAGCATCACTTGTCTGTCGGTCTTCCAGCTGCCACGCTCCCTCCTTCTCCTACAATCTTTCCCTCGCCCCCCCCCCACCACTACCACCCCGCCCCCGGCCTCCAAGGACTGAGAGGGGAGAGGACACATGCAGATACACACACGTACATAGGCCCGCATAGACGTACCCCTCCCACGTGTGTGCTCGTGCGAGCGTGCATGTGCGTGTGTATACGGATGTGTATACACCTGGACAGAGAGAGAAGAGGCAGGAAGGAAGGAGGGCGGGGGGGGGGGGAGGAGACAGGTGGAAGGGAGCATAAGAATAAAGAGGGAGAGAATCGGGGTTCTCCTTAGGCTTCTGCGGGAAGCAGTGTGTGTGCGGCATGGACTCCAAGAGCGCCCCTAGACAATGAGGCGCTGCGGGTAATTCTGTTACCTGCCCGATTACTAACTGAAGCAAGGGGACTTCAGTAGCAAACTGTTGTCAAACAAGACTCTTTTCTCAGAATCAGAGGATCACTGGAATTTTACAGTTTAAGGAGACCTTAGAAATTCCCTCTCTTCGCACATTAGGGAACCGGCACCCAAAGGGATCTGTGACATACCCTCCCTCGGACCCTCAAGGACTCACGTATACTTGGTCACCATACAGCACCGCGCCCTGCTCTGTCTCCCGGGGCTGGCTCACCTCATTCTAATCTCTGCGTGGTTCCAACACTTCCTCTTCTGGTACAGCTGTATTAAGTAGGCCTCCTTAATCTCTTTTGTATTAGCCAAAGTGAATTTTGTAAACTGCCTTAATGCCCTCTGGCAGAGATGCCTCGATAAGGAGGAGGCCTGGTCTCAACGAAGCATCTGTGGCATCGGCTCCCTTCTGAATTACGGCAGTCTGTTTTGACAGCTCCTACACCCTTCCGCCTTCCTTCTCCAAGCCCTTTAGCTCTTCGTTCCCTGCCTCTGGCTTCTGACATGGCCAGCTTTGACTTGCTGAGCTAAACTGAACATAGCACAGAGTTTGGTAACAGAATGGCATGTTGATTCCCTCCTGACTCTCTCTTCCTTGTTTGCAAAACCACTGCACCAGACACTGGAAGTTAATTAGCAGGATGATGCTGTGCTAATTGTGTTAATTTACAAGGTTTTAGTCAAAGAGAATCATGCCAGGGCTGGCACTGCTGTCATGCTTCCGACTTAATGATTAAGAAATACTGAAAACAAGGTGGGAAGGATTGCAGTAATTACACAATAAATGAATAAAGCAACAGGATTCATTTGCAAATATATTTTACTGCAGTTGTACTCATTTGCATTTGGATTTTTAAAAAGGACCCATGTAGATATTCATTTGCAAATCACCATCTCAGTTAAATTAAGTCTGAATGCTGCACAGTATAACTTAATCAAGCTCTCTATTTTTTTTAATAAAAATATGAAAGACCTTACTTCTCTTGTAGATGCAACAGATTCTTTCTTCACCCTCCTTTCCCTTACTCCTCCCAAATCCTCATATGTGTTTCTCTTTTAAAACTCCACTTAAAATATATATATATATATATATATATATATATATATATATATATATATATATCACCAATTACAAAAATAATTGTAAAATCCTGATGAAGTACAGCTTGCATCATTTCAGTCTGAGAAACTCTGGGGGTGAGTTCTAGGAGGAACTAAAGTGATTTTTCTTAATTGTTTCTGCCTTCTCAATCACTCCTTTTGAAGGGGGGAGGGGAAGGAAAACACATCGCAGAATGGGTGAAATGACCGAAACCACACTTAAAAGGGGAAAAGATGCAATTTTAATGAAGCACATTTCAGGAATCATACTTTCATTAAATTCAACTGGAAATTATTAAGAGCAAATCACCAGGAACCAATCGCAAGTAATCAGTATCTAAATTCTTCTAGTGTCATGGGATTTACTTCAAGCCTTATAAAAAGGAAAGAATATTAATGTGACTATAATGTAGAACTGTCTAAAAGACCTACAAATTCATTAGTCCTGTAAATTATTTCCAGGGAATTTCTAGTAGGATTTTTTCTTTAAAAGATTTTCAAATACAGAGTTGAAAAAAATAAGAACTCACATATGCTCTGAGTGGAAGTCTGATTACATTGATACAGAAGAAATGTGAATAAATGTCTTGAAAGGAGGCCTCCAGAAAAAAATTTGGGAGTCAGAGAAAACAGGATTTACCACAAACTCAACATAACACACACACACACACACACACACACACACTAGGAGGCGTGGCTTCCTCAGCTGACCTAAGCCATCGTTGGCATTAGTTAACATACATGAAGAACGTGATAAAAGCCCATTAAAAAAAAAGAAAGAAAGAAACTCTCTGGTTTTGGAATAATTATTTGAAAAATAAACAAAAAAGGGGCAGCTTTCTACTTTATTGGCTTAAAATTTTTTCTTGTAAATTAATCGTTTACAAAAAATCTGCAAAAAATGGTTTTAGGAAGTTAAAATCAGACAGGAATGTAAAGTTTGCATAAAAGAGGGGGGTCGTTTTCACCGAGCAGGTCTGTGAAGTTCAACTCTGGCAAGACTAATACATTTTCTAAGCTTTCTACTGCATCTGAAATTGAACAAAGATCCTAACGAAATTATTTATTTGGGACGATTACTTGATGTACCATTGCCTTTTGGTTCTCGTGCTATTTTTGGATGTGCTTACCAAGATAATTGAAAGTTTATTTATTGATGCATATTAACTAACACTAACCTTAGCGAGGCCACCAAAGGCAAGACTGAGCTTTGATTAAATCACCTTAAGGGAACAGAATTATTCACATCCCCTGGAACACGAGTACTTACCCCGGGTTTTGAAATCACTAATGTTACTTGAAAGCTCCAGTTAATAGTTAAGCATAAACTAGTTATTATTATTAGTAGGAGCCGAATAAGCCAGCGTACGGGAGATTGTCCTGTGCTTTTGGAGCACAGAGAGCTTTCTCATCAGTTTTTTGAATTTTAATGCTAATTGGAAGGAGAACCAAACTTGGTTGTGTTGTTGTTGTTGTTATTCTGTTTACTGGTGGTGATAGTCCTGATGTGGAACAGAAGAAAAACGTCGAGCCAAATGTTCTTTGAACAGCAACAAAAAAAAAAAAAATCATGCTCCATTTGATTGTTATTGCTGTTCTCTATGTGTAGGAAGTAGCACACGAGTGTCACTTGGCACCCAAATAATAAGATGGGCTTTAAAGACAGCTTTTATATGGTTTCTCTTTGGAACATGCAGAGAAAAATCTCAGAAACAATACTATTTTAACATTATTTAGAAACATGACTCCAGAACAATAACTTCCACTGCTGTTTAGAAATAGCTTAAATAGGTACAATAAAGATTCAGACAACAGTGGAAAGTAAGAAAAATAGTTCTTAAAGATAATTGAAGGACTGTTCCAAAACATCGATTTTTATTTTTGAAAGGATCGGGAAATTCTTAATACAGCTAGCAAATTTCACAATGCAATGTGTTTGTTCTTAAAATATGTAATTTAATAGAAAATTGCTTTTAAGATACCTTAACGGAAGTATTACACCAGAAAGATAGGTACTACTTTAAGAAGCCTGAGCACTTTGCTGTTTTATTGCTATAGGATGAATTTATGTATATTAAACGAATAAGGCTATATTTCCCATAAAACTGGACAGTTTGGAGGACATTTTCCTTTCTGATCGTTTCTGCCCACATTATAACTTAGGTTTAATTACTAAGCAGTTGCTGCCTCATTGCTTTACTTGCTCCATTTTGTTCTTTATTTTGAAACAACACAACTGTGACGCCCTTCGAAGCTCTGTCACAGCTTCACGATGACAAAGAAGCTGCTATGGAGAAAAATGAAGGATATAAAAGCAACTTTAAGAACGGGAGGAAATCGGAAATAAGCCACTAAGCCTCCAGAGTCTATTTTTAGCACACATTCCTGGAAATACTCCTCTAAGGTCCGGGCTTCCCTACCCTGACCCCTACCTGACACACGTGTGCTGCTCAGCCGTTCAGCAGGTCTAAAAAAGCTGTTCTCTACAAGGTTCCCATAGGGTACTGCTGGCTGCTGGGGACTTGCCTTCATCTGTAGGTTTTCTCACACTCCTGGGGCAGGGACCGGAGGCAGACACCTGCAGGCATGGAAGGCTTGCTT